TATCAATATTAAATTGAATCAAATTGAATTGACATGTTATGATGGAGAGAATAAATTTGAAATGAAAGTTTTAATAACAGAAAATGAAAAACAACCATTCATTAACATCATACGAGCTCAACAAACAACAATCTCAGTTAAAGCACAGAGGTTAGAAATGGAAATAGGAACAAAGAAAAGTATAATTCAAGACATTGATATTACTATCAAAGAAGGAATAAAGAAAGAACCAAGTATTGGAATAATGCAACCATTATTTAGAAATGGAAATGATTCAACGATGTTTCATGATAATACTCGAGTTGAAGATATTCCAATAGTAGAAAATTTATTTGTTCAAATAAACCAAGAAGAAATGAATAAATTAAAAAAGGTATTTGAAATGAGTGAGACTTGTATTATGGTGAATATTCAAAGAATTAGTCTTGATATAGAAACAAAAGAACTTGTTGTATTAAATAAAATTACAGATTATATAACTAAATTTATCATAGAATGTTGTCAGAAAATGTCAGAACCTATTAAACAAGAAAATGATATTCAACAAAGAGAAGAAAGAAGTATTATTGAAGAAGAAGATATTGTGTATGAAAAAGGATGTGATTTTGATAAAATGATCAAAATAATTCAAGAAAGGAATAAAGCAGTAAGAGATACATACATTTATTGTAATGTTGATTGTATTAAAATTACACTAAGAAATAACACTGAGTCAATGGAAATGAAAATGAATGGTATTGAAATGATTAATCCACAAAATATCTTTGGATTGGGACTAACTCTTACTTATTATCAAGTTGAAGAAATAGAAATTAAGATGAATTACATACAACGAGGTTGGATAGATAAAATTGAAAAACAACAACAAACAATAATAATGAATGGTAGAAATAGTTATTTTACTTTTATTAACCATGAAATGACAAACACAGAATTTGAAGATATTATTCATTATTTCAAACCAAGAAATATGAACAAAGCATCACTCTATCAATTTTCATTTATCAGAATGACAAGTGGTTATTCATTTGAAGAGTTCTTTAGATTGTATTCATTATTAATGTCAATGTCATCTTCTTCATCTTCAGAATCACACCAAATTGATAATAACTCAAAAGATAGTACCATAGAAGATTATTCACATTCGTTTTTTACTGTTGATAACTTTGTGTTGTTGATTGAACAAATTAAAGATGTGCCACTTCAAAACACTACTTCAATAACAATAAAACCACATAAGTTATTTGGACATTATATTTCAAATCAAAATGAAATGATTGGACAAATTGAAAGTAAGATAGAATTAAATCAAATAGAAGTTGGACTGTCATGTAACTTTAAATATGGAAAAAGAACAGAGATATATGTTCCATCTCTTAACATTTCTGGAGAAATAGATATACAAACCATATCAAAATTGATTAACACAACTATGATGATTATTACATTTGTCAATCCATATCAACAACCCACTGAAACTAAAGTCGGCAATAATAAGACACACAAAACTATGAAATGGAAAGAGTGGTATGAAAAGGATTTAATTACTTTAACTCGAATAGAACGAAAATACGACTATGAATGTATTGAAGAAATGATCAATATCAAGAAAAAAGGAATTAAACTTGTTAATGAAACGCATCTTTTATTAGGAAATGACATCGAACCATCAGATAAAAACACATCTCAATATGATACTACTATTATTCTTGATCCAATAAATGGAGAGTCTGTTAAAACACAAGAAAATGAATCATTTTTAAAAACTTACAGGAATGAACAAACTGAAAATACTCAAGAAAAAAAAGAAACTAATACTAATCAAACATCATGTATTATTGAAATAAAAGTTATTACTATTCACCTCAAACTAACAAGGGAAAAAGAAGATTTTCTTAGTGTTGATTTTGAACATATGGAAATGAATGTTGTAGTAGATAATAATGGAGGCACAGATGTATGTTGCAATTTATACAAAGTTAATAGTAGTTCAAACAAAGAAAAAGAACCTATCTTTCAATTAGACACCACAAAAACCCCACTTCAAATTGCTTTTAAAACGATTATCCCTAAAAAGTTGGATGGAGCTAAAGATGAAATGGGATGTTCAATTGGTCTTTACAATAATGGATGTAAATTAAATATTCGACTAAGTGTTAAAATACTAAAACAACTTTATTCAATGATTAAGTCATGTTCAGGTGAAAACAATCCCCTTCCAAAATTTGTTCAAGAAATTACACCACCTCCTATGCTTATCAATTTGGAATTCCTTGAAATCCAACCAATTGAAGGTAACTTTAAAATAGAAGGTGGAATTGATTTATTAAAAAATACGTTCTCTGTACCTTCTACTCTTTTAAAGATAGAAAATGTTTGTGGAGATATTAACTCATTATTAAATGGCATTACAACGAGTATTGAAGATAAGGCAATGAAAAAACTTTATCCCTTGTTTTTGTGGATTTTGTCTGGGTTATTCCCACAATTTGCTAATATTTCTGGTGTGAAATCATTTATTTCTTCACTTCTAACATCATTTTCTAATTAACGTTTTTTATTAGTTGAAAGTTTGTTTTTCTTTAATCGTTTTAATACTAATTATTAAATAATAATAAAAAGAGTTATAACTTCTTATAAAACTTCATCTCAAACAAAAAATTAAAAAAAAAACACAAAATTACCATAAAAAGAATGTCTCACCATAATATTGATGATAGTAACTCTTCTTCTAGTAGTTCTGAACAATCAGAAGGAGATGAAGAATTCGATGAAGAAGATGAAGACGAAGACGAATATGAACAAGAATGTCCTACAACTGGAATGAAACATCCTCCTCAGTTAAATTCATATGGAGATGCGTTAAAACCAGGAAAAGATGCACTTCATTGGGGGGTTTTGAGACCATTTGATTCTTCATATCCAGGTATTGATTTATATGGAAGTAAAATGTATATTGGACCACATTCATTTAATTATGTATTAGAGAATGTAAGTGTAGAAGTTTGTATATCATATATTCATCCAGGAGAAGCTTCATTAGAAATTACTTCATCTAATGGATTTGTTTATATTAATCAAAGAACAGTTAGAAAAGGGGATAAAGTGGTATTAAAAGAAGAAGATGAAATTGGGTTTTATTATTCAAAGACATATATATTTACGTTATTCTTTGATGAAAAACCACAAATGTGTTTAATTGATGAAATGAAAACAAACCAAGGAATTATGGTATTTAACAAAGAACAACCAATTCAAAGAATGGTTTTCCCTGAAATTAAAACACCAATTAAACAAATATCACAGACAGAAGTACTTAAAGCTATTTTCAAGAAGTTTGGAAGAAATAGAATTAGTCAAGATGTTGAAGGAAAAGTTTTAAGAAAAGAAATGAATAAAGCCACATTAAAATTTTTAAGACCATGTGAAATTGAAGCATTAAAATACACATGTGAAATACCATTTGTTCATCCTGAATTAATTAAATTTACTAAGTCCATTACTAGTTTGTATCGTACGTTATTACTTACTATTCCTAAAGGAGGTATGAAACATTTATCACGTGTTGTTCATGCATTGGCTGATGAGTATGATGTTCCTATGTTAGAAATTAATTATGATACACTTGGAATGACTATTGATGCAAAGTCTCAAGAAAGAAAACAATTTTATGCAGGTCAATTAGTTCAATTTATTGGGAAAGGAAAAAGACAAAGAGATTTTGTAGATGATATTGAATTAGGGACAAAAGGAGTTGTGTTATATGTTAAAGATTCTCATGCAGCAGTTAATTTTGATTATTTTAATAAAACAGTAGCATGTTTTGTTGATATTGAATATTTAGGAAATATTAATGAAGAGATACCAGATACTGACCAAAGAGTTATTGGTAAGTTAGATGAAATTATTGACATGTATGGAAGAAAAAATAGTTCAGAAGATAAGAAAGGAAAAATGATTATTTTAATTAATAACATTTCGTCTATGAATGACAACATACAATTAATGAGTGATTTTAAATCTTATTTAAGGGCATTTCAATATTCTGATAAAAATGCTATTATTATTGGAACTATGGTCACTCCTCCTCCTCCATCAAAATCACAATCAGGACCTCAAATGGATCAATCGTTATGTATGTTAGGTGTTAAAGAATTTAGGTTTGAAACTATTCCTTTTAGTAAAGCTACAAAAGATCAACAAAAAGATTTAAATAATATTTCCAAGTTATTTGGTAATGTATTAAAGTTTTCACCCCCAACTGGAGAACTTGAACGTCCTTGGAAAGCTTTAGTTAATGAAGATGCTAAAATGGAAAAGATTGCCAAAAATAGAGAAATGATAATTGCACAAACAACTGCTTTAAGAATTAAATTACTTCAATATCCAGGAGAAGAAATGACTGAAACTTATACACCAGAACAAATAGAAAAAGCTATTGGAATAGCAATTGAAGAAGCAAGAAATACTACTGGAATTGCAAATGAATTAAGTAAAGAACAAATTGCACATGGACTAAACACTGTTAGAGAAAAGAAGAATATTGATATTGAAGAAATGGAAACAGACAATGAATTTGAAAAGAAATTATTATCAGATGTTATTAGAGCAGATGACATTAATGTATCATTTGATGACATTGGAGCATTAGATGATGTAAAAGAAGTATTAAATGAAACTATTACACTACCATTAAAACGATCAGAATTATTTTTCTCTAAACTAACACAAGGAGCTAAAGGAGTATTATTATTTGGACCACCAGGAACAGGAAAGACTATGTTAGCTAAAGCTGTTGCAACTGAAAGTAAATCAAACTTTATTAATGTGTCTATGTCATCTCTTGGATCTAAATGGTTTGGAGAAGCTGAGAAATATGTTAAAGCACTATTTACATTAGCTTCTAAATTATCTCCATGCGTTATTTTTGTTGATGAAGTGGATGCTTTACTTGGAAAACGTTCAAGTAGTGAACATGAAGCTGTTAGAAAAATGAAAAATGAATTTATGTCATTATGGGATGGACTTAAAAGTAAAGAAATGGAACGAGTAATTGTAATGGCAGCAACAAATAGACCATTTGATTTAGATGATGCAGTATTAAGAAGGTTAAGTAGAAGGATTTTAGTTGATCTTCCAAATGAAACAAACCGAGTACTAATATTAAAGAAGATTTTAAGAAGAGAAGATGTTGAGAAAGATTTGAATTATTCCATTATTGCTCAACAAACAGAAGGGTTTAGTGGAAGTGATTTATTTGCACTAGGACAAATGGTGGCTATGAGACCAATTAAAGAGTATTTGGCTAAAGAAGTCAAGGGACAAAAAAAAGAGATGAATCCTGTCTTAAGACCTTTAAGTACGCAAGACTTCTTAGAGGAAGTCAAAAAGATAAATCCTTCTGTCTCAAAAGACAGTAGTTCTTTGAATGAATTAAGAAGGTGGAATAGCCTTTATGGAGAAGGAGCATCTACAGCATCAACTAGCCTAAAATATTTCTTATAATTAAAAACATTTTCTTTTCTAAACACTTTTTAGTCATTTCATTGTTTCTTTATTACTTAAAATTTTTATGGGAATTGTATCTTTTTTTGAAGTGTTATTCATTTAGTATAAGTTAAGATGAAGTTACTTGAGGTAAAACATGACTTTTCATATTTCTTTTGAATGAATATAATTTATCAAATCTTTTTAGTCATTGACCTAACAAAAAAACTATTCTTTCCATCTTTTTTTATGTTTTTTGTTTAGGCTGATTGGTGTGAATTTTCTCCTAATAAAGCTTCTTTTCAATTCGGAGAACCATGTAATTATCCAAGTCAGTTAGAGTGGAGAGGTTGGAAACATGTAACTTATGTAGAGACAAATAAAACTGATTGTTTCTTATTTGTTAATGATTGTTGTGGTGCTGATAGATCTGATACAACAAAAAATTATTTATTTTTTAATGACACAGCTGAAACACCAAATAAGTATTTGTATTTTAAACATGAGCCTTCAACAGCAAATGGAAGAAAGACGTTAAACTTAGATTTTTGGAGAGAATCAACGTATTTAGATACTAACTATGTCTTTGACCTTGATGGAATTCCTGAATATTCTACTTTGTATCAAGGAGGAAGAGTTGCATCAGACTCATCAACTACAACACTTATGTTACACAAAGTTATTGTTTATTTAACAGTCAATGATACTTATCATGAAAATATTATTTTAGATTATAAAGAAAGTATTCCACCATTTCTTCTTATTGAAGGAGATGTTTCTGTTACAATTAAAACAAATTATGATACTCCAACATGTACGTATCATTATTCAACAAAAGGAACAAAATCCACTATAAAAACACCAATTTCTGGAAAGGTTTCTGGATCATATAAATCATTTAGTATTTGTGATATTGATGGGTATTCTCGAGTTACTCTTTGTCCTTCACAAATAACTCCTGAAAATGATTGTACATGTACTTTTAAAAATTTTGAATATCAAAATGGATATTATGATTGTTATTATATTAGTGAACATAGAA